ACTTTTGAAACAAGTAAAAGATTATCTATAGTTTCTATAGCTATAACCCTACTAATAATTGCATAGCGATATAGGCCTCCTGATATACGAATACTTTTGGCTGCGTCCTCTGTAGTGCGTGGGAGGCTGGAATGGAGGCGGGATGGAGGGGGGCACAGGCTCGCGGGAATTAGACGAAAGAAAACGGTCCTTCACACTGTTCAGAAGCAGCGCCCGTTCAAAGGAGGACCGGATCCCCGATGGATGGATGGACAGACCCAGCGCCGTTGGATCGGCAGGCGGCCCTGTGATGAGAAACGCCGCGACTTCGTGCCTGTGAGCTGCTGACAGGACCGGCCTTATTTGAACGTCCTCCGGGCCCGTGGAAGGAGATCCGGGGGTCCGAGTCAGGGGGAGGGCCAGGGGATTTTGGAGGTGACAAGACGGAATGACAAGACGGTGGACGAGAATGGGGATCTCGGCGGAAGGGACACAGCCTGCCCCAAGCAACAGTGAGAGAAAAAACGTCTCCAAAAAGCCAAGGGACCAAGACGCCAAGACGTTGGACGTGAAAAACGTGGAGAGAGGCGTTGGGAGACCGAAGAGCAAGCAGTATCTTGGCCCTTGGGGCTTTTGGGGAGGGGGAACTGGAGAGGGGGAACGGAGTGCCCGAGGACGAGTGACTTCAAGCGCCTTGTAAAGCGGAGGCCTCTGGCGGAGAATGAGGAAGATCTTGTACGCTTCTTGGACATAACCACCCCGCTTTTCTTTTTCATCGGTGGCTCTCCCATTGCTCTTGGCAGACAGTCAAGCTTGGCGGTAGACCGGGTAGAGTCACCGGAAGTCACTGCCTCAGCGTGTGGACTGGGACGAGTGACTTGTGTGAGCTGTATGCTTGGCTCGAGTTGAGGTGAGCGAGTTCTATGAGTGGTGAGTGAGTGGTTGTGTTGCACACTGCGACCCGCGTCCTGCATCTGCGTCCTGCGGCTTCAGTGTCCTGCGTCTGCACCTCGTCTCGTTCCATGTCAACAGACAATCAGCCTACTGCTGGAAATGCGACTACTGCGGCAGGCTGCTCTTTCTGGGCTGGCCGACTGGGTCGCTCACCTCCAAATCCGCATCGCCCGAGTCCTCCTGCTCACCCATTTCTCGCCTCTTCGGTTCAAGTCAGACGGTTCCCGTCACCGGGCTGGACTGCAGTCCCGGGACGGGCTCCCAGCGAATGGGCATGGCTGGCTGGGGCGGCACAACGTCCGTTTTGTGGGTTGATAGGGTCCACCGATGCACACACGGAACGAGAATGAAGAGGAGAAAAACAGCAGCTTGCACCCGCGGAACGGGCGAGGGCACTCCGATAGACGGCCGGGTAAAAAAGACCGATCTTACGGCTTGTTCGTCAGACGAGGCACGAGGGATGATTGTGGTTGATGGGACATAACATGGAACATGGAGTCGACGAGGTGAAGGATGAATGATCGTCTCAATATGTCGGTGACAATAGCGCAGGCGTCGGCGAATATCATCAGCCGGTTGATCGCTCTAGGATCACAATGCCTACTCGCACATACGCTCCTGCAGAACGGAACAAAATATTGCCAAAATTTCGATCGGATGTGATAATAGCCTGCGGCAAGAAACAAGGCCGCCACCAGACCCTCAATCGCATTAATGCCAACTCCGCTTGGCAGGCATGTCTTAAACGTTGGGTGAAGCCGCTCATGATGGGCACCACCCCCAACCTCTCTGGCGCCACACGCACACACACTTTCAGGTGTATCTGGGTCTTTCTCTCGCTCTCTTCCCCCCACCGCCTTGGCAAGTGTTGCTCTGAGATTATCCCCGAGTGCATGTGTGTGTGTGTGCATCGTGACATTGCCAAGCGGTGAACTGTAGCTGGCCCAGCACTGCAATGTTTGTGTGTTGATGATCACCACACTGTCTCGGTTTTATTGCGAGTCGCACGAGCCTCAATTTACGGGCGGCACATCAGTCTCGCTGGCTCATCAAGCGAGCATCTTCCTTTGACGAGGCACCGTCTTGGACACTTTGGCAAAGATGCAAAATAAAACCCCCGGGAACACCGTATCGGAAACGATGGAACAGTTGCGTCCCATTCTGAGAAAACCCCGAGGAGAAAATCGAAGCATTTTTCGAGGTCCACCGCCCGGCATGCACAGAACCGTCCAGGAACAGCTTGGAGCCGGCGGCAGTGCAGTGTAGCGTAGCGGTACGCGGGAACTCTGACAGGTCGGCCTGGAGCGCAACAACCCATGAGCATTCTCCATTTCTTCCAGCAGTTGGTCTCCATCGAATCCATGATCCATCGTTATCCCAACCCCATGCAACCTCTCAGTCTGTGTTCTCTGGTCCTCTGCGGCGTGGTGATCGATGGCCGGAGGAAGTGGACGATGTCCCTCTTGGGGCACACCGGCTGCGGTTTGACGCCGGTGATTGGGCAGGGCGTGGGCTTGGGGGCAGGACGATGGAACCAGGAAGACAAGCACTATCGTGCTGGCCCTGCCCACCCCACGCATCTCATTGAAGAGGGACCTGGTGGTGAGTGGTTTGTGTGAAAGAGCAAGGGCGACGAGAGACTTGAAGCGACGGCTGAGGCGATGATGGGGTTCTGTTGGGAGTTATCTGGAGATTCAAGCCGGCTCCTGGGTCTTGGTCGCTTCAATTTTTTTAATGTTCACGAGTCAATTGTAACAGCGAGATTCTCATCCAACACTGAAGCAGTCTCTTTCTTCACTGACGGAGGAACATTGAGAGAGAAATACGTACCGAAGAGTCGACTGTCCACAGACTTCAAGGTGTGCATCCGCTAGTACTGTTTGTGTCTAGCATCATTCTCCTTCCACCTTCCATGATTCCACCGCCATGTACCCCGTCGCACAACCAGCACCGAGAGATACCTCATTCCGCTCCTCCCACAGCTTCCATCGAATCATGACGTCCTAAATCAGCCTTCCGCTTGGCATTGCGGGGCAGGTCTGGCCACTGTAGCCCAATGACAACGGCGTCTGGCTGAGAGGGAGACTCTGTTTCTCTGTTTTGCTCGTGCCGCTGGACGCTAGAGAAAGCAGCAGAACAGGGTCAGGTTCACTTCACTCTACAGTCTACACTAGCTGGGTCTGCTGGTGTGTCTGGAGTCTGAGTCTGAGTCTGGTCTGGTCTGGTCTGCTTCTCGACACTGCATTGCATGCCGCCTCCTCCTGCTCCTCTTCTGACCTTTGGATCCTTCTTCTTGCTTGGTCTCTTGGCTCTCGTTGAAGCTTGGCAGCGGTGCTCTTGGCGCAATCTTTGGGAAAAGGTTGGAGGGCCCAGCTCCATGGGCCGTTGTCATTGGACATTGTGACCCGTTTCTGGGTCCAAGATACCCAGCTTTCCTTCTCTTCCCCCTCCACCCCGGTCACCACCGACGCCAGGCCCTTTGCCAATGCCAGGTTGCCCCCCCTCGCTCTTTGCTTTTGCCCCATCCATCGTCCCTGCTGGTCCTGCTTCTGTTGTGTTTCTCTGTCTTTGCCTCTGTCTGCCGCTGCTCCTCCGGCTGCTGCTGGTTTGCTGGCGGCGGGCGGGTGATCCTGTACATACACAAACAAGCCCAGCCGGCCCAGGTATTCATTCGTTCAGCCAACAATATCAGCGTAACAGACGCCTCCAGCCATCATAATCGTTTCTTGCATGCTCTGTCTGTCTGCCCTTGTTTGCTGCTGCTGCTGCTACTGCGGCATGGAATCGGGATAAGCTTGTCTGTGTCTCTCTCTGTTCCCATTCATTCAATCTTCCATCTGTCCCTCCATCCACCCAGGTCCCATTCCCATTCCCATTCCCATCCATCCATCCATCATTATCCCATCCCATCCCATCCCCATCCCGCCCATGACCACCACCGCCGCCAGGCCCTTGTCCATGTCCATCATACCAACCGTATCTTCCGATACCTCGCCCCAAGGAACGCTCTCCGCTCTCCGCCCTCTCCCACCACCCGACCTCGACCACGCCCAAACCGAACCGTGCTAGACTCACATCTGTGCTCGTCCCAAAAAATTAAACGGTTCTACCCAACCCAACCGACGGAAGGGAAACTCAACCTTGAAAGCAGTCCACCACCAGACGAAACCGAACCCGCCAGGCGACCGGTGCCAACTTTCTTTCAAGCTCCTCCCAGCCCAGCTTGTCCAGCTTATTCCCAGCAATCACCACCACATTCGTAGCATCGAACGAACGAAGCGTTGCATTGGGGAAAACATCTGCTCAGTGCGCTCAGCCCTTAGCCTCCGCTATTCCGTTCCGCCCTTTGTGACGTCGATTGGCGAAAAGGAAACGATTCAACACCACCACCGCCAGTCCACTACCGGCCGCACACACGACCACCGCGCACCCGAAACATCATCCCATACCGCACCCTCCGCCGCATCGCGACTAGACGCAGAAAACGTCTATCCCTCTCGAGTCGAACATCGCGAACGACGACGTCGACGCTCGAACAGCTGTACCGCAGCTCTACTTTCGCGACCTCTCTCCGTCAACCGCCGCCGAACCTGCCGAACGAACCTCGAGTCCCGCGCTTCCCCCTCTCTCCCCCCTCTGGTTCGAACAAAACAACACCCAACACGGCCGGCAACATAGCGTCTCGCCAGGGATCGGGCCAGACGACGAGGACTCTTCCCCCCGAACCCAAGGGGTTTAAACACCTCACCTCCTCGTCGATGGCTTTTTTGACCAAGAACATCTGGCCCAAAGATGGGAGGAACCGATCGCATATCCCGGCCATGCCGGTGTGGATTGCAGGCGTCAGGATAGCACAGCTCGTAAGGAAACACCGCCACCACCACCCGCTCCACTCCGCTCCCGGCCTCGATGTGCAGCACGCGACCTTTGCATAGGGAAAAATTTTGAAATGCACGCATCTTGGGAGCTGGAGCTTGTTTTGAGGAACGTCATGTTGATGGTTTTATGTGGAATTGCAGGTCCTTTCGATTGCGACATTAGTGGTGACCGTGTACGGCCTGACCACCATGCAGAAAGCGACAAACTATCGCAGGATAACGGTATGGCTCTTGCACATGAACAAAACTATCTTGCGCCTGGACAGATGCTCCTGCGCGCACAGCATGAACCCTTTTTACTAACGTATTGCGTCTTGTAACTTGCAGTCCTTCAGCGGCACTGAAGGTTTCCGTATGTCACACCACCCACATCTGCTCTTCATCAATCCGTGTACTGACATTCTGTTGGCAGCGCTTTCGTGGTTTGCTTTTGCTTGGACCTTCTCCTACCTGGCATGGCTAGGCGTCGCCGTAATGTTCATTCCCATGATGTACAATTGCTGGGTGCATCTGTGAGTTGTCTTCACCAGTGGTCGCTGCGCCCATCTCTAACGAATCATAGTGGTCTTGAGCTGCTCACCGTCGTGTTTTGGATGATCACCATGGCTCTATTGGCCAGCCACGCCGACGACCTTGACTCTCTCGACGCCTTCATCGTCACTTTCGGGCCCAAGTATGAAGTGTACTACAAGATGAATGTTGAACCTTTCGCCGAAGGCTTTGTAGCCGCCACATATGCCGGGACTGCCCTATCGACCGTCAACTTTGTTCTTTTCATCCTCACCATCGCAATCTTTGGTGAGTTCATGCCCCACGCTCATTCAAAGACCCGTCGCGAGATTCGGTCTCATTCCCTTGGCATTGAGAACACCCAACTGACCTCTCCAGGCCGCGCCCTCCATGCTTACCGCAAAGCCAACCTTGAAAAGGCCCCCAGCACAACCGACTCTCAGAAGACGATCCAAGCCGAAGGCGACAAGATGGTCGCCTCACCGCAAATGACATCCGCGATCCCAGCATACATCCACTGGCAACACAACAACAACCAGTACCACCCGCAACACCAGCAGACATATGCCTACTACGCCCAGCCATATGCGCAATCGCCGCACTCGCAAACGAACCCCTCGCCGCCGAATTCCGTCCCGCCGCACGGGTTCCAGCCGGCGTACTTCCCCAACCCGCAATGGCTGCCCCAGCCACCACCACCTCAACACCAACCGCAACCGCAACCGCAACAACCGCCCCCCGAAGGCGGCGTCTGGCCGCAGCAGAACTACACCATGTACCAGCAGCAAGTGCCCATCGCTCCCCAGCACACGGGCCAGACGGGCACCGACCTCGGCACGCCGCAGTTCCCGATGGTAAGCCCCGTTGCCGCGACCAAGTCCGACTATCAAGGCGTCTACCCGACGCCGCCGCCGGGAAGCACGACGACGGCCGGAGGGGTACAGCACGGCTACATGGCGCCTCAGCAGCCGCCGCCGCCGCCGCCACCTGCGCCGATACCCGGGTCGGCGCAGTCGCCGGTCGAGTTGAACGACGGGCTGGGCGAGCCGGGTATGCCTGCGGAGCTGCCGAACGATCCGCCCAGGTCACCGAGATGACAACGATCATGAGAGTTTTTATTTCACAACTTTGAAGAGCAGCTGGGGTTTTGTTTGGTTTTCTTTTTCTTCGGCCTGTATCTGGTCACCCGGGACAAACGGAACTTTTAACGAATTTCGGAAAAAACGACTTCTACGACGCACAACTTATTTTCGTCTTCATTATTTCATTGGGCGCGGCAAGACACATGCATAGAGAACGGCGTTCTGGGAAACTACTGGGGGGGAAACCGGCGCAAACAAGGGCCCAGCAGATTAAGCGTGGTTCTGGATTCTCGCCAACCTTTTTGATCGAATTTATTCTCTTATTTTCAACGGCCGGGGAACAGGGTTCATCGAACCTCACCTTTTTACGACGAACCGAGGGCGGAGCCGGCGGAAAAAAGAAGCGGGACAGGGGGCCTCGTTGAGTTTTTTCTTTGGAACCAACCGCGGCGAAAAGTAACGGTTTGCCTTCGTTGTATTTCTAGTTTAGATGGACGTCCCCTTTGAGGGGTGACTGGGGTTCATGATGCTTAATCCATGATAAACCCTCCCGATTTACGACCGATCGGGGGGACCATCTTTTGACTCATGCTGCTTGTACGATTTCGGTGACGTTCATGCGATTGAATATGCCTTGCTAAGGAACTGTGGGACGTGAAGGAGGGAAGATTGATTCAATTACAACTATCATTACGAATGTCAACTCAGCGACTATGTTTGCCGCAGGTCCTCAGTAAACATAGCGGAAGTACGGGTTCTCCTTGTCCGTCAAATCCTGGAACGCAAGCTTCGCCCTCTCCTCTCCATCAACCGGCAACGCATCGCGCTTCTTATTCTCGCTCCAGAGAACATAATACAGCGCCCCCGAGGCCAGGATGCAGATGACGTAGCAGATAATCAGACCCAGCCAGAGCTCGGGGTAGTGCGCCGCCTTGCTCTGCGACTTGACCAGCTGCGGTCCGACGATGTTGCCCACGCAGTACGCCACGAAGATGGTCGCCGCCATGAAGCTCTTCTTAGTGTGCCCGGCCACATTCGACATGCCGAGCGTGATGATGAGGCTCACCACGCCGCCGAAGAAGCCCGTCAGCGAGTACCCCACCACGGGCGCCGCGGCGTGGCGCGTCCACGCGGACTTCCAGATGAGCGCGCAGCCTGCGATGACGGGGAGGCAGCACACCACGAGCATGAGGATGCGGATGTTCGGGACGCGGGTGCCGAGGTAGCCCGTTGCCAGAATGATGAGGAAGCACAGCCCGCCGAGGGGGAACTGGAACAGGATCGACTCGAGGGAGGTCCAGCCGAAGGTGGACACGATGAGCGGGCCGAAGCCGGAGACGGCGCCGTTCATGGTGTAGGCGGAGGCCATCATCAGCGCGACGAGGTAGACCTTCATGTCGCCGAGGGCCTCGCGGAGCTGGGCGGGCTTGAACTTTGTGCAGCGGACGCCGGTCTGACCGTAGCGCAGGCGCTCAACAGCGGCGAAGCGCTCGTCTGCGGTGAGGAACCACGCGGAGACGGGGGAGTTGGGCAGGGCGAAGCAGAAGACGCCGAAGAGGAAGGTCAGGCAGCCTGCGAGGAGGTAGATGTACTGCCAGGGGCGCAGGTCGCCGGCGCGGATCTGGGCGAAGGCGTAGTTGAGGGCGCCGCCGACGATGGTGAAGAGGCCGGTGGAGGAGAACCACCAGCTCTGGCGGAGGGACTGCTCCTGCTGGGTGTAGTAGCCGGAGATGATGCACATGAAGCCGGTGGGGATGATGGACTCGACGAAGCCGAGAAAGAAGCGCTGGGCGTAGAGGCCATGGTGCGAGGTCACGGCGGCGGTGAGCATGCAGATGCCGGACCAGAAGATGACGACGGCGCCGAGGATGCGGCCGATGTCGAAACGCTGGAGGGCGTAGGTCATGGGGTAGAGACCGGCGAGCATGCCGAAGTAGAAGAGGGAGGTGGCCCATGAGAGGCGGGATGTGTCGACGCCGCCGGTGGGGATTGGGACGGAGAGGTGGAGGTCGGAGGTCATGCCGAAGAGGACTGCTGAGCCGAGGATGGCTTTGTCGTAGTACACGAGTCCGTCTGTTGAGATGTTAGATGAGATAAGGCCAGGGGAATGAAGTACGGACATCCGAAGATCATGGCGGGGATGAGGAACCAGTCAATTTTGCGCACCGCGCGGGCGGCGACGGCGGGGTCAAAGTCTTGAGTATGTGTGCCGACCATCGCAAGGGCATCGTCGTCGCCGGCACGGGGCGGGTGGCCGTCGGCCGGCGCGGGAGCCTCGACATCGGCGCCCGCTCCGGCTTCTAGGGGCCCGGCGGCGGCTGCTGTCCGGGCGGTGGTGGCGACATGCTTTTCGGGGGCCATCGCGGGATGAAACGAAACCTCGCAGCGAGGACCTTGTATCCGAAGGGGAGGGAGGATACGTAGCCGACCTCGTTACTTTTGGAGGAATCGAGACGGATTCGATGTGGTGGATGAGTGAGCTGAACTCTGGCTAGTCCCTTTCTCACTTTGTCATTGGCGAGGGATCCCTTTGCGTGGATTGTAGTATGGCAAAAGTCGCCTCAGGACAGGCTGGGGTGGCGGTGGTAGTGTTGGTGGCAGCTTGAGATGAAAAATTTCATGAGCGAACCATCTTGGCGACGTGGTTGACGGACTCTTCCGCCGGTCTTAATTAACTCGCGGCTCTTTTTCTTGACATTCAACCCCACGTCACATCTGCTTTCGCTTCGACGATCGTTGGTTCCCAGCGGAGAGGTAGCGAAGAAAACCTGACGGCCGGGGGTTGCCAAAGCCACTTCAAACCGCCATCCTGGACCATTTTCTCGCACTTGATCCGCTAGACGGGTCTGGGAATGAGCGGAGTTGGGCGAATTTCTGCAGCGTGCAGATGTCTCGCTTGGGCTAAAGAGGGGACTGGAGAGAGACGACGATTGGACGCGGGAGAGAACACGGTCTGGGCCGCGGGTACAGTCGGAGATGGGGGGCCGAACTCGGCGGGTGGGATTCGCGGGTTGTTAGGATTGCGGCGTGTTGGGTGAATTGCCGGGGGCTACGGGGCTGAAAGTGAGTGGTTTTGTGTCTGGAATGTGTGATGGGATGAGGCTGTTTTGTGTAGGGTTTTGAACTATATTAAACGCGGATATGAAATGTCAGAGTCTCACAGTGGGATGGAGGCAGTTGGGATGGATTGGGGAATCGGGAGAGCCGCCCGGGATGGGTGAGTGAGGGATGCTGAGTGAGATTGGGCTTGGTATCGTCGATTGAGTGGCAACGGCGGGTAATCCAAAAAGATCTTGAGAGTTCAATTGCTCTCTATGATGGCACATTTCTTGTTTTATGTTCAGTCGAGATCATCAAATGAGAGAGTGAGTAATCGTTCTCATGAGTTGCTTGGGGGTAAGGGTAATGAGTGAGATTCTGGAGTGAGATTGAACGCTCTCGGGAACCGTTGAGCTATCTACCGCGGAAACATCTCCACAAGGGAAGCTTTGATCATAAACATGATGTGTTCAGCGTCTTTTCCGACGTGGGCAGACAACTCAGCAACGAGCTTGGCTCACTCCGCAGCAATGCATTTGTTTGGCAAACATGGAAAGTGACACGAGCGGCTTACTCAATTCTGACTCTCAATGAACCTCGGCGGAGTCTTGACTTTTATCTGAGGTTTTCCGGACCGTTTCCCCAACAAATGACTAAACCAAGTCCGGATCTGCAGCGACTCCTTCGCGCTGCCGCCCCAAGACCAATCGCACCCTCCCACCCATTCCGCCGCCGTGTCCCCAAACTCTCTTTCAGAGCGCGTCTTGCGGTCTATGCTGTGCGAACGTGAAGCCCATGCCTTTGCTTGGCTCGTCTTGGCTTGTCGGGAAGGTCGGCCACCCATCAGTCTGAACGCCTGGGGGAATTGCTTGCTCGCTCACTCGCTAGAGGCCGAGACCGTGGCAGCTGCGCTAGGTGCAGACTGTCTGACGGAAGCCGACCGTGTTGAAGCCATCGCGAGACGCGTTTTCCGTCAATTTTGCGATAATGTTCACATCCACCATTGAAGGCTTCTTGGCCGGCTGGACAGTCGTGTGAAGCAACGAGAAAATTGGTTTACTTATTAATCGCAAAATTCCTCCCTCTCGGTATCTTTCCTGGGTCCGACCCAAGCCCTCTTGCCCCCCGTCTTTGTTGTTCCCAACCAAGTCCGCCATAAGTACAAAATCTTGCCCATGCCGATATTAACACTAGGTTACAGTACACGAGAGGTCTTTTCCGCTCCTTGCGGACGCGGCATTCCGTCTCGGTTTGCGTCCTCCGGCAAAATAGGGAGGCGCTGTGATTATACACTAGGCTCATTGAATCTTTGCCGCTTCTCTCTCGGCCTTGTTCTCTTTCCACCACTTCTTTTCTCTCTTGATCGCATACTCAATCCAAAATCTCGCAGTCACACCCCAGACGATGATCCAGCCAAACAAGACGCCCAACGACGTGCCAAACGCACGCTCAAACTCCAAATCCCAGATAATCGCGGCCACATAGCCTAGGTAGCACGAGCACCCGCCGATCCAGAACAGCGTCAGCTCGAGGATCATCTTGCGGAACATCATCGACTTCTTGTACCGCTCGACGTAGCGCTTGCGGAACTCGCGGTTCTGCGCGCCGTCGACGGCGAAGAAGTCCTCGGCGGCGTAGTACACGATGGGCTTGAGCCGCTCGCCCGCCGGGTCCGAGTTGATGCGGATCGGCATCTTGATCGGGATCAGCGTCATCAGCGCGATCGCGTCCAGGATCATGAACATGAAGCCAGGCGAGTAGAGGTACAGCCACTCGACGACGAAGGGGTCGTAGACGGTGGTCGAGCAGACGAAGGGCACCAGCGCGGCGATGAGGCCGAGCGCGTACACCCACGTCGTGGCGTCCAGCTCCCACCAGTGCTTCGACAGCAGCGGCGCGCACTTTTCGTACTTTGCGATGAGGCGGTAGACGCGGACGATGAGGATGTACACCTCACCGAAACCGAAGGCGATAATGGCAAAACCCAGGATGCGAGACTCGACTGTCTCGACGGCGGGAAGACCGCACTCGACGCCGGCCTCGTATGCGGGCGCGCAGGCGTCGCGGCGACGATTGCGCTGCGCACGGAGCCAACTGTAGTAAATGCAGACTGGGAGAGCTAGATCGAAGAAGAGAATGATGAAAGGGCCGATGGAGATGGATATGTGCTCCTTCCAGTCCACGTACTTGGTCAGCGGCTCAAGCTCGTCATCGTCGTCATCATCATCAAGGCCTCTGTCGCCGCCGGGCGTGGTGCCGGCCAGGACTCCTGGGGTCGCCGGGTCAGCCGTTGTCTTGGGCGGTCCCTCACGTCCAAGAACCTGCGCCGTGCTCTCGCTGACAGCCGTGATGGTGGAATCACGGAATGCCTCACGGTTCTCATCTCCAGGGGCTCGATCCCGGGCAATGGCAGCTTCGGAGGCCGTGTTGGGGGCGTCAGCGACGCCTGGTACTGCCGCCTCGTTGGATCCTCGTCTGCTTCCCTGCTGCGACCCCGTCCCCGCCGGTACGGCTGCCCTGCTCTGCTCGCCGGAAGGTTGCCTGCTGGGTGCCTTTTGGGAGGGCGCCTTTACACTCGGTGCTTTGTCTTCTGACGGAGCCTTTGATTGTGAGGTGCCGGGTCTCGTCGGGGCGTCCTCGTACGCCTGTTCCCCCTCGTTGTCGCTGGTGATGTCCGATATCAGCGCCGTCGAAGCGGCCGGATCATTGTCTCCTGGCATTGTGGCGTCTTTTGTTGTTGGTCCTGTGTTAACAGTAACCTGGGTATCGATGAAAAGGGGACTGATATGGGGGGGTATCTTGTCAAGAAAAGAAATGACAGAATGATAGCTCTTCTACGCGCGCGCTAGACGAACTGCAACGACGACGACAGAAAAATGATTAAAGCTAGCTCAGCTCGGCTTTTGGGGTATGACAGCAGAAAACCAGAGCTCACACCTTACCGTTCGCTCCCAACACAGAGGCTCTGGGATGAGAGACGTCGACTACTTCATATGGAAAGGTGTTCACTGGAAACATGGGAGCAGTGGGCGCAGATCCAAAGCGCACGTCCGCCCGCGCCGTCGCAACACGAATCATGAGGGGAGCATGAAATGCATCGCGACATCAGACGGATGCCTGACCGGCCGGTCCCTGGTTTCGAAAACGTGCCCAGGTTGTATCTGAGCCCATTATTCCATAGGATGTTCCTTTTCGGGCCCCGAGCACCATCAGCAGCGGTGTCCTCGGATGCCCCCCCTCGACGCCCCTCCTGGGCGACGGCACTGCTTGCTCGTCGCGTGATTGGCACAGGTCAACGTGTGGTGTTGGCTCTTGGTGGATGGTTTCTGCCCCTTGCCAGCAAACTTTGGCCGGCATAAACCCAGAGCTTCGTCTCAATAAGCATCAGCAATGCTACAGACTTTACTTGTCTGTGTTTCTTGTGCAATGTGTGGGAGGGGGGCGAGGGCGAGATGGCTAGGAAAGGGGAGTAAGGGAAAAGGGGGCTACTAGTTTTGACAAGACGGCGCCGTCTACCATCCCCTGCGACGGCGGACGCGGCCAAGACCTTTCAACTTCTGTGAGACGACATGTTAAACGTATGGTTTTTCCGGGATCCAGCCACAGCCGGAACCTGAACTTTCGGGGGCATTTGCCTCTCCACGATCGGCACCGGACTCCGTTGCGGAACGTCGATTAGCTCCCGACACAGGGGCCGTCCCTGGCGTCCTGCTTTGGCCCAGCCCCGGCGCAAACAGCAAGCAACAAGATTCAGCCGCGCAGCAATTGGCCAGAAGCACGGAGAGGGAAAAAAGAGACCGGCGAACCCGGGGCTTCCATGTTCTTGACTCGAGCCCAGAAACGTCTTTGCTCGGTTGTATTGGTGTCTAGCGTCAAACGCTAGTGCGGAGTCAAGTCCGGACATCAGAGCACAAACTGCGAACCCAGCAGCAAACAGAACAGAGCGCAGAAGAGACCAAGCAACTCGCAGTTCAACTGAACGATTTTCTGAATTGGGGGCCTCGCCTGACGGGAGCTCTGGCATAGACGTACGTACCTACAAGGCGTGAGCTGAGCCCAGCAGATGGTGCGCCAACCAGACGAGCTTCCTTCATCCCAGAGCTTGCCCATCTTTCCTGGCTGCAACCTGCGGGCCAAGCTGTAATGCAACAGTTGCTCCCATTCCTCCGTTGCGTTCCTGCCATTGTTTCATGACCCCAATTCTGCATTTCCCATGCTGCGAGACTCCCATGCCTGCTTCCTCCTCCATGCAGGCATGCCACGACTTCCGCCAAGGTTCTGCCCTGCGCCAATTACATAACGTGCCGTGAACACCCAAGTAG